TATCTTTCTTTTACAAAACTTTGCCATTTATCAACAAAAATAGTCATTGCCCATTTCTCATTGTTTTCTTCTCTTATTTTTCCTCTTCTCTAGCCCTCTCCTCAACCTCAACGATCCTCTCCGTTTCACGTCTAATCTGGGATGGCGATCTCCGGCTGACCACTAATGGGTGAAGGCCGATAAATGGACCGGTCAGTGCAAAATTAATGAAGTAAATTTGTTAGAAACGACCTCCGAGTTTATTCAAGCGCCCCTTAATGGGATCGTCGTTGTATTGCGGTGTTATTTTTGGTGTTATCAGCGCGCGAGGGGGTTTATTATAGGCTTATAAAATGGTTGGAAAATACACATATTTGGAGGGATGGGGTTGTTTGGAAGGTGTTTTGAGGGTTGATAAGATAAAAACTACGGTGGAAAATTGTGGGTTTGCAATAGAGAAATATGTACAATTTATCGTGGCTGAGAAGTTTAACAATTTTTTTGAGAGTATACACAAAATGAGGGCCATAAAATTAGACGTGTTTTAGAATTCTTAAAAAGCAATCTACCAGTCTGTCGGGAAAATAATGGGGATTTCTCGCAGCAAAATTTCTCGCCTTGTCACAGTCGCGCACCAAATCCCCGGCCACGTCTAGCCGTCGCAGAGCGATGATGGAAGGATCCACATTATTTTCCCGACAGACTGATAAGGCCAAAATTTCATTTCGAAAAATCAACCAGTCAATAAAAAAAAATTTTTTTTGCATATGCACTGACGCCTATGTATAAAAAACCGTACTGCAAAACCTCTCTATAACAAACAATTTTAGATTCCCTATCAGTCTGTCGGGAAAATAATGAGCGCAATTTCGCTGTGCCAATTGCGTCGTTGAACTGAAAAGCAATTTGATTTTGCCGCGCAAATTCACACAATTCATTTTTGATGCGATTTTCGAAGTGACAGAGTGCTCATTATTTTCCCGACAGACTGATAAAAGCCAATTTTAAGGCAAAAATTCATCGCAAAATAAGGCCCTTCAGGCACGGCTAAACTTCTCGGTTTCTTGCGATTTTTTGTCTATAGATCTTGCTGTATCTCCCCCAAAAAGTTGCGTTTTGAATTCTCTCACCTTTCAAGATTTCTCGTCATTATTTAATCCATCATTTTATCAAAAACTTGGCCCATTAGATTGATATAAAAATAATAAATGACCGAAGAATGGGCGAGTGGTGTTTTACGAGGGAATGATGCGTTATAATGGCCCGGAGATATGCTCATTGACAAGAGCGAATCGTTGATTGCTTAGAGGTGTTGTGTAATAATTTTATGGTAATTAAATGGTTTAGTTTATGGGTATTCTGCTATGAAATTTTGCTTTCAGAGTTTTAAAATACGCCAAGCATTTTCTTTTTTGTCCATTTTTACTGTAGAGGGTAATGTTTCCACGAAAAATAAACTTTTTCCAAGCAAAACTAGGAAGGTTATGGCCAAAAGAAGTTTTTTCTCTGACCGCTCTCCCCTTTTTGCCTACTCTCTCTGCAGCAAAAACCGTTCAATGTCTCGGCTGCGCCTGCAAAGCGTACAGTGTCCGACCTGATCCAGTAGCAAGCAACGTACCTTTTGGCGTCAGGGAAGTATCAAAAATGTGGCAAAATGCCTCCCTCTCTAAGTGACAACGATTTTAAAAGACACTCGTATTTTTATCAGTGAAATGGAGCGGCCTTCAAAACTGAGTTTTTTAGTTGTAGAGGTAGGCATTTTGCTACATTTTTGATACTTCCCGAATGCAAAATGGTACGTTTTTGCCACTGGATCAGGTCCGTCACTCTATTTTCATCTTCAGTCCAGCCTGTAAGCAATACGATCCCTTCATCTTTCATTAGGACCCTTTTTACCTTGCTTTAGCCTCTCCTTTCTAACCGTCGCCTTTGATGACATAATCCACCAACTACTTGGGCGTCTGTTCTCCACACTTTTCTCGGTTTCTAATCGAACCTCAACTTCTTTTTTATCTCCCCACCGAACTGTCCACCTCGATTTTTCAGTGGCTTAATATCAGGTAATGGGCGCGCTCTCGACGCGTGCCCAAAAATAATATTTTCATAAAAGGCGGCGCCGCTTTCACGAACTCTCGGGATGGCTGACTTTCTATAGCGCGCGATTATTTTCATTCTCTTCTGATGGGGGCGCAGAGGACAGGGATTGATTGATTCTGCGGTACAATGCGGCTGGCTGCAAAATGTCAAGGCTTTTGTTGCTTAATAATTTACAAGGGAATAAGGCCTCAAAATGCGATGCACAGATTTTCATCAAGTTTTGCACACATGGATGGCATAGGCCACGTATCAATTTGTGAAAGTTTTAGCTCGCGCTTTCCAGGCGAGCCGAGATATTCACGCTCTTTGTCGCTAAGAGCGTACGCGGAACGCGGAGAGCGGTCAAAGAGAAAACCACTTTTTGGTCATATTTTTGCTAGTTTCGTGCGGAAGAAATTGAGTTTTTGTGCAAACATTGGTCTCGATGGTAGAAATAGGCGTAAAATGTTCTATGCCAAAATTCGCAAAAAAAGTGTCAGTCTTTCACCAAGCTTTGATCTAAAATTTTGACCATGTCTCCGAGAACCTTTTATATCTGGAAAGCTTTGTTTAAACTTGTGCCGGGCTTCATCAAAATCTGTGCGTCGCACTTGGAATACTTCCCTTGAGATCTTGGAAAACGGGTTTCAAATTTGTGGGGTTTGTAAAATACGAGTTTCTTTGCTCATCGAAAAATGCTCGTTGCTGGCATTTTACTTATCAGTCTGGTACACTGGATTTGCCGCAGCAAAATTTTTCACCTCTTCGCGCCCCAAATCTCCAGCTGCGGCTAGCTGCCACAAAACGATGATGGGAAATTCCAAGGCCCAACAAATCCACATTATTTTCCCGACAGACAAATAATTTTCTGAATCTGCTTGCTGTACATACAAAAGCCTCAGCCAACAGGTAAAATACGCTTGGATTAATCATTTCTTTTTTTCGCAATAGTATTTTTACATACGTATACGCAGTATAGGGGATTACTTTATGTAGCTACATATAATAATTTTATGGTCTCATCCACTCGCGCATCTGCTCAAACATTTGCGTGCTAGCCCCGTTGACCGATTGATGTTCGTTTCGAAAGCCTCCGAACACATGTTCCAATAGATCATTTACACAAAGGGGATGGGGCCGACAGTGGCGACGGGTCAATCATTGACGAAAAAACAAAAGAACAATTACGGACTTTTGTTTACTTGACGGATGTGGAAGCCAGCGATAGCATCTTAATCGGCGCGGTGATTACGATAGTTTTGGGGGGCTGGGAAAAGAGTGGATGAGGAGATGAAAAATTTTGAATTTTGACTAAAAACTATCTAATTTTAAGGCTCATTAAGATTTTTAGGGAGGTTTTACATTGATTTTTAGCTCGATATTGGGAGAAAATGGACTTTTTATTGCGAATTTTGGCGTTAAAAAAGGATTGGCGAACATTTGGGCATCAGCTAAAATAGTCAACGATTGATGCACAGCGCATTTAGAAAGGTTAATCAAAGGTAGCAATTTTTTGAACCATTTCAAAACAGCACGCCAAACCCAAGACCTGCTTAAAACGAGCCATGTATTGGGTCGTCCAGAAAGTTCGTTCGTTTTTTCATTGCTTTGTTTTATGCGGATTTTTTTGTTGTTTGGCAAAGTGAGTATACTTATTTGATACCGCTTTTTCCCCTCTACAAAACAGTTTCTTTAGTTTTTTTTTAATATAATTTTTCATTATTTTTCGGGTCTCGGAAATGAAGATACTTCAGGGTCATATTTAGGCAAAAAAAAATTTACTGTAGGGAGGCAGTGTCTACATGATTTTTTACGTTTTACAAAAAATCCATTTTTTCCGCACAAAACTGGCAAATGTATGACCAAAAAGGTTTTTCTTTGCCTTTGGCCGCTCTCCGCATTTCGCATACTCTCTCGGCCGCAAAGATCGTTCAATATCTCGGCTCTCCCTATAAAGCTCAAGATAAAATCCTCAGGAATTAATATATGGCCTAGCCAAAATCTGAGCAGTCATCTCTTGTAAGAACCAATCATTTTTTACGTATTATTTTGCCTTCCCTCGTTTCCCCCTTGATTTTCTCTCTCCCCCCAAATCGCAGTCTTATAACGAGCCATAAATGCGGCGACTTTTTCATATCAACCGAAGCCATCTACAAAAGTTTTATCGCCTTTCTGTGCCGAAAACATCGAAAACGGAGCGGGCGGTTCGGAACCGGAAGGATGAGACTTTCCGCCGCCGCGAAAAAAGTTTTGGGACTTTTGAAACAACATTGCGTTATAGAATGTTAGCCATGAATGCGGGGTTTGGAAATCTTCTTGGAGCTGTTTGGCGATGGTTAGGATGTGTTCTTTACATTTGATTATACCGTTGTTATTTTTACTGTAGGATTCAGGGTATATGTATTTTATGGCGCTATGACTTTTCGTAATGACGATTTCTTGGGTTACTTTTATTTGTCATTATATGCGTGGGGAAGGCCAGGTGACAACTCAGCTAATAGAAATAACAAGATTGATCATGTCCTAGGTTAGTCACCTATAGTCACCTATTTTGAGGTATTTTCCATCTATTGCATCAACAATATTGTGGTAGATATAACAAATCTTCTTTTTTAGAGCAATTTTTGGTCGTTTATAGGCTATAACAGGTTACGGGTCAAAAGTAAGGTAGAAATTGCTAAAATTAGAAAAGATGTCCATATCGAAAGTCTTCGGCAAGTCTCCGCCGAGCCTTCGCCGAGTCTCCGCCAAAATCCAACGGCTTTCCCAGGCTTTGTAGAACACTTTTTTTAGATGTATGACTGTCGTGTGAATTTTATTGCGGGTTTTTTTCGAAATTTCTTAATTTTTCGGGATTTTTAAAGCATCTACAAAATCATAGCTAAAAAAATATTTTTTTTAGTTCAGTAATGCAACAATAAGGCCTCAACAAAGATCTCAAAACCATGGCCAACATCTACGGCACTCAGCGCACAGTTTGCGCCCACACGGACAAAAGCCACTTGGTGAATTGCGTCAGCACCTCCTCTTCGACTTCGCCGACGTATTACGAGGACCGGGTTTATCATGAAATGTAAGTTTAAGATACTAAAAAAGTCACCTGTTTTTTGGTTCTAGATTTCCTATGTTTTGGATTACATTTTTATTGTAAAACATCACTTTTTTTCCAAGTGAAATTCGGAAAGTCATAGCCAAAAAAACATTTTTTGTTTTATCGGCTCTCCTCATTTTCTGTTCTTTTCTCCAAAAAAAGATTGTTGAATATGTCGGCTGAAATTGCATAGCATTTGCTAAAATTTTCACAAACTGTCTTTTTATCTGCCTGTCGGGAAAATAACGAGTTCAGAAAATGAATTGTCTCGCGGCAAAATCAAATTGCTTTCCATTTCAGCGACACAATTTTCTCAGCAAAATTATGCTCATTATTTTCCCGACAGACTAATATTTTTTGCACACAGAAAACTTGCAAGTGTTGCGACCTTTCTTCCCCACTTTTTCAATGGTTATCTCCCATTTCCATCGCTAAAATCCCCCTTTATTACTCCTTCCATACTTACTCATCTCCCTTCTCCTCAAAAGCCACGAAGCGATCTTCAAGGTGATCCTCCGCCCATTTATTCCAAGCTTTTAGCCATAAAAGGAACTCCCGCCGACACGAGTGTCGGAAACCAACTTTTCTTGTACGGACTTTCGTGTTGTAAGCACTTGAGAAAACACATTATGTAAGGGCGAAATACGGCGGACGAAACGCGGTCAAGTGATTTCTTGAGCAATTGCGACTTTTGGAAGAGTTGAGGGGATGTTGCGGTTTTTATGGGGATTTTAGGGTAGCCGTGGGGCTACTGTAATCTCGGTTGTTCAGATACGATAAAAGATGGAAAAATGGGCGTTTCGGGACACGTTTTGGTTAGAATTGCAATTTTTGTAACTTCCGTCGTCCAAGGGCTATGTGTAGTTTGTTTTTTTGAAGTTTTCTTTACTACTACGATGGTAATAGCATTTTCTGCCGAGTTTGCAAATGTAACGGCAAATTTCACCTTCAGGGCATAACTAGGAATGACAATTTTAGAAGCATGTTTTAATGGCCTATGCTGGACCGTTCGCAAGTTCGCTGTAGTGGTTGCGCCGTGCACTGTGCAAATTATTGCTTTTTGCACCATGCAAAAGGTTTGCGGGCTATCGATCGCTCCTGGTCCTTTCGCGCAGTGCAAACGCCAAAAATTACCCCAGTGGCTCTAGCGGACGGATCAGTACTGAATTTATATAGCCAGAGAACTCAAAAAAAGCATGTCGGCTGACGCAGCGAGCGAAAAATCGTCTTTTTTTGCTATACACAAAAAGATTTTCATTTGCGGACAACCAAAAAAATTGCACTAAAAAACAGTTCAGTTTTTGTAATTGCCTGCCAGCACATTCTACAGAGCGTTTTTTTTCAATTCAGTTTTTGGTCTTCAAAATTTTTGTATGTGCCCTCCGCCGCTCAGAATTCAAATTTTTATCACCCGTTCGATCTAAACTTGCTCCGAAAACAACCCCGAAATAGATGTCTCTTTGTACGGCAACAATACGGATCCATTTTATTCGGCGATCCACAAAGCCGCAGTCGTATGCAAATTAAGGCCGGTCGTCGGAGTTGAGGGGTGGATATAAAGGGCACTCCGCGATGCTTATGCTTTTACCGCATTTCCCATCGTTTAAACACAGGAGGCGCCGCGCATTTTACAGATTTAATTAGCGCTATCAAGGTTACAAGTTACAGGAGCGCCGAGATGCGGAGTGTTTGCCATGAGGCATTTATTACATAGTGGGGGTGGTACAGCGGACTTCGAAATTGAGGCTTATGGTGGTTTAGAGGCTATACGAAGCCCATAGGAAATACTCAAAGCGCGACGTTTGGGGTTGAAACAATTTTTTTTGATTTTGAAGGCTTCCAAGTGCGAAGTTTAGGTTTTGTTAACTGGGTGCGCCAATAAAATCTGGACTAATATTTTTGCTTGTCTTGCGTGATGTTACAGTACGAGAACAAAGTGGGCGATTACGTCTAAGTAATACGTCCAAAAAGCTAGGTTTAAAGTTTCAGACAAAATAATCGTCTACGACACTTGCTTTGCCATTATAAGTGGTTACAACTAAGGCGCCTGAAACACGGACCCCAAACTGGTCAAAAAATGGTTGCGCTATGTTTACCGTTTTATGCTATGAGCTGAATTTTACTTTTTCTGATAGAGCTCCAGTCGGTTTTTATACACTGAAATTGATTTTACCTCGTTATGACAATTAGGCTTTTTACAGCTCGCCAAAACTGGCCCTTTCCCGAGAACTCTTTTTAACGCTGATTAAAACCCATTTCATTTGTATTTCCCCATTCTTTATGGTCTAAAATTATTTTATTGCTGTTCCATGACCCCAAACTTCCCCCTTGTCCTCTAATTCTCCTATTACGTTCGATTATTATCCCCATCATTCCCGAACGAACATATTTTTCGTCATTACCTTCTCGATTACGCAACCAAATGCCCTTCCGCCACATTGCGCATAAAACACCGAAAAACATAAGGCAGCAAAAAGTTGTTGGAGCCAATTTGTTTGGGGCTACATTAACTTTCGGGGCGAATGTAATACAGCAGCGGGTAACAGAGGAATCAGGTTCAATTAAGCGTGAAACAGTGAAAAAATACGTTTTCAGAACGAGACGGCTGATCAGAGTTTATTCGGAAAAAGTGAGAAATAAAAAAAGGTGGAGGGTTTCGAATTAATGGTGGATATAGCGCGAGGATAACGTGTTTTATTTTTTATTTGTTTTTGTACTGGTTTAAGTGGTTTGGGACTGTAAGCGGTACGATTAACCATATTGTATGGCGATAAAATTTTTCGCTACTTTTCTTTGAGTTTTGAGGACTATGCAATTTATACTACTCTTGGCAAAAAAGTTGTAAAAATTGCCGCGATAAATCATCAAAACTTTTGCCGTGGGCAGTATCAGTCTGTTGGGAAAATACTGAGCACAATGTCGCTGCGCCAATCGTGTCGTTGGAGTGAAAAGCAATTTGATTTTGCCGCGAGACAATTCATTTTCTTGGCAGCGATGCGATTTTCGATGCGACAGAGTGCTTATTCTCATCAGACTATTTAAAATGTTACGTGTTGTTACAGTACGTTATGTCTGAGGTTTTTTTGATCTAAAACTGACTCTTGACCCCTTCGAATATTTTTGTTCTAGACAGTTTTAACAGATGTGTTTAAAATTTTACTATGCGATTTTGGATACGACACAGTGCTTATTATTTTCTCGACAGGCTGATATTGACAAGGAAAGTACTCCGGGAGCGCAACGCTGAGATTTTGACAAAATTTGGCACAGGTAGAGAGTTTGTTTTTTTCGACACAGCGCTTATTATTTTCCCGACAGACTGATATGTATTACACAAAGTTTATGCCCCTGCATTTCAAATGGGAACAAATCAAAGCAAATTTCGATTTTTTTTTCAATTTCGCGGCCGCACCCTGCAAAAAACCCAATTTTGCATCGTGCAACCGGTGTATCGCCTCGGCTCAAATTATTTTTCCACAAAGCTTTTTTCGCCCTCTGGATAAGCCTTTGCTTATTTTTCTCCAAAAATCGGCAGTACCAGCTATATGTATGTAGTCTAAAATCAACTCCTTTCATCATGTTCAATCCGCGGAAGCGCCCTTTTCCGGAGGGTTACAAACTTTTCTTTTGAAAAAAACAAACTTTTTACTTTTTTCTCATGGATTTTCAAGTCTGTCAAGTGGGTTCTTACGGAATTTCAAGCACTTTTTGTACAAGCTTTTTGTTTTTTACTCTTTTGGAAGTAATTTTTCTTTGGAAAATTGCCAAATTCAATTTTTTTGAAATTGAAAAAGACCCCGAGTTTCTCATTTTTTGAATCCAAAGTCATTCTTCTTGAAAAAAAATTTAAGCCCACCCATTTTTCGCCGTTTTTTCTCCGACTTGGCCACGCTTTTTCCCAGAAATTTTTTTTCCAAACTGTTGCGCAAAACCCGATAATTCGCATTTGGCGGAAGAAAACGCGCATTGAAGCGTTGAAACGATGCTAATTCCCTTATAGTCAAGTCGGAAAGGAGTCTATTTTTGGGTGACTTGAGAAATTAAAATTGGCCGTCAAAAACATTCGGCAAGTCGGGCGAAAGTTGAGCGAGTCTTGGGATTTTTTTTTTGGAAAAAATGGGAAAAAATTCGTTTTTTTGAGGTATTCTTTGTGAAAATGACGTAAAATTTTAGCTGCGAGAAAATTTACATACCAATTTTTTCTTTAAAAAAAATTTTTTTTCCAATGACTTTGAATATTTTAATTTTTGTTTTTAACTTTAAAAAAAGTTGAAAGTATCATTTTTTTTCTTATTTCTACTGTAGAAGGTTATATTTCCAATCATTTTCTCGGCATACAATAACCTTTGCTTAACGAATACTCTTTTTGGTCGATTTTTGCCGGGTTTCCGGTCGATTTTGTTGAAAACCAGGGCCCGGCACCAATTTCGGACCATACTATGTATCTCGAAAAAATCGACATGTTATACGATCAAACGTTTACGAAAGAGATCTGGACATGTTTTACCGTATAAAATGTCCGCGAAAGAACTGAGAATCTCTTCTTAGCGTGTGGACTCCAAAAAAGGGTAACTCATCAGTCTGTCGGAAAAATAATGAACACAATTCATTTTTTTTGCGATTTTCTCTGCAACATAGTGCTCATTATTTTCCCGACAGACTGTTGTTCATAGTTTTTTATCGAAAATTGGCCCTCCCATTTCTTTATGATCCCCATTGGCCCGACAAAATCAAATTCGGAACCGGCAAAAATCGCCGCCAAAAGGTCGGGCCGTATGCTCGGCATTGAGCATAATGGACAATGTCAATTGGGATCATATTCCCGGAATATGGCGCGCCGTTTTGAGGAATGGGAGAGAAAATGGGGTAAATAGTAAATAAAAACAAAAAATTGGGGGGTTTTTCTACTTTTTGCTTTTCAATTTGCCAAAAAAATTTTTTTTGTTACATGTAATGATGGTATATACCCGACAAAGCAATGGGTTTAAGTTTTGTCCCTACAATGTGCCTAGAGCGGGTACTAATTGTTAGAAGTCCTAGCAGACGCTTTGCAGGCAGAGCCAAGATTTTCAACTGCTTTTTTCGAGAGAATACACAAAATTCGGAGAGCGGTCAGAGAGAAAAACACTTTTTGGCCATATCTTTGTCAATTTCCAGTGGAAAAAATTGATTTTTTGTGGAAATATTACTCTCTACGGTGGAAATAAGGCCCAAGGTTTTTCATGTCAAAATTTCTAAAAATGCCAAATTGTGGCCAACTTTCCGACCAAAAATCTCTGTAGTTTCTGGCAAATTTCGAGCTGAAAATCATGCATATGTCATCGGAAAAATTTCTGATGTTTTGCAAGCAGAGCCAAGCTATTCAACCGCCTTTTTTCGACAGAGTACACAAAATTCGGAGAGCGGTCAGAGAGAAAAACACTTTTTGGCCATAACTTTACTAATTTTGCTGGGAAACAACTGATTTTTTGTGGAAATATTACTCTCTAGAGTAGAAATAACGTCAATGTCTAGTCATGTCAAAATTTACAAAAAAAAAAAATCCATTTTTTGACAAAATTTTCGACCAAAAATCTGGGTTGTTTATGCGAGAGCGGTCAGAAAGAAAAACACTTTTTGGCCATATCTTTGTCAATTTCCAGTGGAAAAAATTGATACAAAAAAAAATCCATTTTTTGACAAAATTTTCGACTAAAAATCTCGGTAGTTTCTTTCAAATTTTAAACTATTATAAAACTTTGTTACATTTCCTCGAAAAATTTCTCTAAATTTGTCCCAAGTTTTATGAAAGTCCAAGGCTTCAATTTTAATATTTTTTCAAGAGAGTACACAAAATTCGGAGAGCGGTCAGAGAGAAAAACACTTTTTGGCTATATCTTTTTCAATTTCGCGGGGAAAAAATTGATTTTTTGTGGAAATATTACTCTCTACAGTAGAAATAAGGCCCATATCAAGAGTTTTCATCTCAAAATCTGCAAACATTTTTTTATACTTTAACCAATTTTCGACTTAAAAATTTTGGTTGTTTCTGTGAAATTTTGATCTAAAACTCTTCTACATATCTTCAAAAAAATTCCTCTAAATTTGTCTCAAGTTTCATCAAGCTTAGACCTTTCGATTCTGCACTTCTGTTCCCACTAGATCATAGAGTCTTTGCCCGCTTGCTCGTGGGATAATATATGAAATCTTGTGGTCATTTCCCCAGCGTATTCCACCGGAACGGCATAATTAATGGCTTCGAGCGAAGCTGACTCTCTTTTCAGTGCGCGGACACTTCTTCCAACGCCTCCAAGGCACTCGTGTTTATTTACTCTCTCTCTCTCACCTCCGAACCCCCGAAACCCCATAATTATTCCGGGAATTCGCCTCTTTTATGATGACTCTTTGATATTTTAGGTAGCAAAAAGCATGATTAGTACTTTTTGGCTTCTAAATTAAGCTTTTGGAAGCTAGAAAAATATATTTTTTTTTTGATTTTTTGATACTTTTTCATAAAAATATTTAGGAATTTTTTTAAAATTTTTTGATTTTTTAAATATTTTATTCTTAAAAGAAATAAAAAAAATAAAAAAAATTGATTTCATTTTTATTTTTTTATATTTTTTCACAGAATCCTTTTGGATTTTTTTACTAACTTTTTTTTTCATTTTTTCGATTTTTTAAAAAAATCAATTTTTTTAAATTTTTCACTTTTTTCACAATTTATTTCCCCCAAAAATAAGCCTAATCCGGCGCTAGCGTCAGTTCGGGTTAAGTGACTTATTCAGGTGCGTATTGTTTACGGTAGGAACAATAGCAGGATCCTTGCGCGCAGATGTGTGAAGCCATCGCTTTCATTTCGAATTTTCACTTGGTTTTGGGCAATTGAGGAGGTCAGTAAATTCCTTTTTACTCAGTAATATTACAGTAGCAGCTCTGTACTATAAGCCTTCGTTCAGCGAAGACTGTTTATAACATCAAATTTCAGAGGTCCCGATAGTCCGTTTTAGGCCAAAAAAATCTCTATATAACAAAACCTTTGTATAACGAACAATCTTTTTTGGTCAAATCCATTATTTATAAGTCTGTCGGGAAAATAATGTGGATCTGTCGTAGCAAAATATGTAGTATCGCCACGTCGCAGTCGCTCATCAAATTTTTGGCGTCTAGCCGTCGCAGAGCGATGATGGGCGATTCCAAGGCGCGATGAATCCACATTATTTTCCCGACAGACTGATAATGACCAAAAAAATTAATTTTTATACATAGGCTTTGTTATCTGAAGGTTCATTTGGCCTAAAGCTGGCTTTCGAGACCTTTGCAACGGTTTGTAATAGAGAGGTTTTGTCACATGGAAATTTATTGTCCAGAGGTTCTACTGTATTATTTTTAGAAGGCGTTTTATACATATTATATCAGCCTGTCCACGGATAAACTCGTTTTACAGACATTTAAAATATCTGTAGAACTTTTTTTTCAATACCAGCCTGTCGGGAATTCCCCTCTAATTTCGGACCATAATACAATGTGTCTCCAAAAAATCGACATGTTATACGATGAAACATTTATGAACGAGATTTGGAAAGGTTTCATCGTATAATATGTCCCCATAGAACTGAGAATCTCTTCTTAGCGTGTGGACTCCAAAAAAGGCCGTAAATATCAGTCTGTCGGGAAAATAATGAGCCCAATTTTGATTCGCCGGCCGCGTCGCTGAAATGAAAAGCGATTTGATTTTGCCGCGAAGACAATTCATTTTTTCGGCGATGCTATTTTCGATGCGACAGAGTGCTCATTATTTTCCCGACAGACTGTTGTTCATAATTTTCACCCACCGGCAATGCTATTTTCGATGCCACAGAGTGCTCATTATTTTCCCGACAAACTGATATATGTGCTTAGCGAGGTCTTAAATTACTAATACAGCTCTAATTCCTAAAACTAATAGTCTATAGGTCCACTAACTCCTTGCGCTCCTCTGAAATTCCCCTTTGATTTGTTTAGAATGCTTAGAAAGCGCGTTGAGTTTTTGACCGCGCGCGCGCTTCCGCCCGCCTAATCCGGGTCTCATTTTCGGTCCGATTCAAAACATTACATAACATTTGTTTATCCTCTTTCCCCTCGTCCTCTAATTAACCCGCAGGCTCGAAATTTGCATATGATAATTACTGGTTGTTCGCGGGAATTTCTCGCTTTGGATTATTACTTTTGCGCCGCGAGAGGAATGGGATTTCTGGGGCTGGCGGTTTATGGGGTTTGGAAGAATGGGATGTGGGGTTGTATTAAACCAGTTATATAGATGAGGATGCATAGTAAAAATTATTTTTTTTTTTGGAAAATTGTTTTTGTGATTTTTTGAATTTTTGGACGATTTTTTGGATTTTTTTTGATTTTTTCTCGGAAAAATTTTTTGAAATTTTTTTAAAAAATAATTTTTTTGGATTTTTCGGAGTTTTTGGAAAATTCCCTTGATTTTTATGTGAAAAAAAAATTTTGGATTTTTTTATTTTTTTTATTTTTTAAAAAATTTTAAAAAAAATTAATCAAGATTTTTTCGTACAAATAAAATTTTTTTTGTTTTTCAAAAAAAAAAAACAAAAAAATAAAACATAAAATAAAAAAATAAAATGTTTTTCTCAAATTTCCAAAAATTCTCACACCAAAAAATTGAGCTTTTAGAAAAACATTTTCTCGATTCTCAAGGTTTTTGGATAACTTTTTATTAGAGTTTTTTTGATATTTTATTTGAAAAAATTTTTAAAATAATTTTTCATTAAATTTTTTTTTTAATTTTTTTGTCCAACATTTTCTTATTTTTCCACAAAAATATAATTATTCAAAAAATCTTTCCACTTTCCAAAAAATCTCCCCTCTAAAGAATTGAGCTTATTTGGCGCAATCTCGAAAACTTTTTGGCCTTTCATTAACTTCATTGCATATTCCTACTCTCGGCCAAGGGGAAATGCATTAGAAACTAGGGAAACGCTTTGAAATCATAATGAATACGTATTTATAGCGAGCTGAATTTTCATGTCCTCTTAGGGGAATGGATTTTGGATTTTTGGGGAAAATATTTGGTAAAGTTTAAAAAAATCGACCAAAAAAAATTTTTTTTGACTAGAAGTAATTATCGACCAATTTTTTTGGTCGATAAAATATTTATGCTGTCGATATACCTTTTAATCGACCAAAAAATTTTTTTCGACCGAGAAAATGAATCGACCAAGAATTTTTTTCGACCAAAAATTTTTATCGACCAAAAATTTTTACCGACCAAAAATTTTTTCGACCAAGAAAATGAATCGACCAAGAATTTTTTTCGACCAGGAAAATGAATCGACCAAGAATTTTTTTCGACCAAAATTTTTATCGACCAAAAATTTTTATCGACCAAAACTTTTTTTTACCCAGAAAATGAATCGACCAAAAATTTTTATCGACCAAGAATTTTTTTCGACCAAAATTTTTATCGACCAAAAATTTTTATCGACCAAAATTTTTATCGACCAAAAATTTTTATCGACCAAAATTTTTTTCGACCAAAAAAATTTATCGACCAAAAATTTTTATCGACCAAAAAAATTTATCGACCAAAAAAAATTTCCCAATTTTTTCTTCCAAAATTTTTATTTAGTCAATCCGTCTTCCATTTCCAAATTTTCACCCCTTCGCATAAATAATTGTCGCTCTTTCTTCACCATTTATTATATTTCCCACTTAATTTCCCGCCTTTCACACTCACAGCGGGATGTTTGGTCGAATTTTGGTGGCAAAAATCAAAATTTGGGCGTTTCGCCCAAATTCGCACTACTTTTTTCAACAAATTGCCGGAGGGGTTTAACGGCAAATTAAGCGAAAAAGTGTCGCTAATCCACTTTTATGGGGTTTAAGCTGCGCGAGAAAATTCTGAGAGCTTCATTTTCCGTGTTAATACCTTATGTAAAAATTAGGAGAGGGCGAAAAGAAAGGAGAAGGGGGCGAAAGTCCGACGATTAAGGTTAGAGAAGGATTAGATCGCGGCTGGCTCGATGAAATAGTTTCAAACGATAGAGTGATGGTTGGTTAATGGGTTTAGAAGCGGGAAATAAATACTATGTTTGAGAATACGGTGGAAAATAGGGCTTGTAATTATACAAAGGGAGCCTGGAAAACTGCTTTGTTTGTCATCAATTTTAAATGGGAAGTACTCCAAGTGCGACGCTCAGATTTTGATGAAACTTGGCACAAATTTAGAATAATTTTTTCTAAGATATATGCGAGAATCCTAGCTCGCGCTTTGCAGAAACAGCCGAGATTTTTAGATCGAAAGTCGGCGAACATTTAGGACTTTTTGCCGAATTTTGGCACGAAAAGTTTCATGCCTATTTCAACCGAAAAGGATATTTTTTCTACAAAAAATCAAAATTTTCCGCACGAAACTGCCAAAGTTATGGCCAAAAAAGCGTTTTTCTCTCTGACCGATCTCCACGTTAGTGCTCTCTCGGCGACAAAAATCGTTCGATATCTCGGTGGCGCCCGCAAAGCGCCAGCTAAAACTTTCAGGAATTGATATTTAGTCCATACCGGACGTGTGTGCAAAATTTAAAGAAAATCTGAGCGTCGCACTTGGAGTACTTCCCCTGTTAATAAAGAAACAGTATAATTTTTCCCTGGATACCAGAGATTTATTCTCGCGCACATTAAGCAATCGTATTTTGTTCCCACTTTTTTCAAAAATTTCAGTAAATTAATTTGCTTTTTGCACACTCTTCTTCTGATTCTGATGTCATCTGCAGCCCTAATTCGGCCTTATTCATTTACTTTTGCTCTGCAAAAAAAAATCCGACATTTTTAACCCCCAGAGGGCATGTATTTATCCGTTTTCATCAATGAGCTCTTACATTTGTTATTCACGTCTCTACCAGTGTGTTCCCCATTTATATATGTAACGTTATTATTTTTCTAACACTCGTCATTTCCTCTCGTGTTATATCTACCGCTTAAGGGGAAGTACCCCCAAGTTCAACGCTCAAATTTTGATGTCACTTGGCACAAATTTAGAGTATTTTTTTGAAACGTGTGCTAGGCTCCTAGTCAACACTTTTGACCGAGATTTTTAGGTCGAATATTTCCGCAAAAAAAATAATTTTTTCCCCACGAAACTGGCAAAGATACAGCCAAAGACCGTACTCTCTCGACCACAAAGATCGTTCAATATCTCGGCTGTCCCTGCAAAGCGAAAGCTAAAACTTTCAATTATTAATATGTTACCTATGTCGGAAGTATGTGCCAAATTTCAAAAAATCTCTGAGCGTTCCACTTGAAGGGATCCCTCATATATAAGCTTCATAGTAATCCAAGAATTACCCTTTAATTTGTATTGCATATCATTAAGTAGTAGTACAATATCACGTATAAATTTCACTCTAATTCTCTCGCAAATGTCACGGGGTTTATCCCAAAGAAACCTTTTTGTTCCTACATTATCCGTCTTGAAATTGAGAAAAGGCCAAAAGCCGTTTCTCTCGAAATTTGAAGATTGACAGGGAAGGGGCTGTAAATGTGGTTGGGTAATCTTGAAATTAGACGTTCGTTTAGAGAGGGGTCGTGGGTAAAAACGGCAGAAACAACGTTGATAACGTTGGAATTGAAATCTTTTTTTTTACAGGGGAAGTACTCCGAGTGCGACGCTCAGATTTCCTTTAAATTTTGTACACACGTCGGGTATATACGCAATATCAATTCCTCAAAGTTTTAGCTCGCGCTTTGCGGGCGCCACCGAGATATCGAACGATTTTTGCCGCCGAGAGAGCACACTAAACGTGGAGAGCGGTCAGAGAGAAAAACGCTTTTTGGCGATAACTTTGGCAGTTTCGTGCGGAAAAATTTGATTTTTTGTACAAACATTATACTTTACGGTTGAAATAGGCATGAAACTTTTCGAGCCGAAATTCGGCAAAAAGTCCTAAATTTTGGCCGACTTTCGATCTAAAAATCTCGGTTGTTTCTGCAAAGAGCGAGCTAGGATTCTCGCATATGTCTTAGAAAAAATTGTTCTATATTTGTGCCAAGTTTCATCAAAATCTGAGCGTCGCACTTGGAGTACTTCCCCTGCAAAAATAAGTCGTATATTCACGGCCAACGTCAATCAGGCACTGTGCCAAATGAATTGTTTTGAAAACTCCATTATCGCATAAAGCTAGCGTGACTTTGTGCCATAATGCCATTTACTGCGCCGCGCGTAAACACGTCTAGACCTCTGGGCCTGTTTACAGGTGTCCAAATTTACTAGAGACGTCTTCCAAATGCAACGCTCAGATTTTCTTTCAATTTTACGCACATCTTTGGCATAGGCCACATGTCAATTTTTGAAAATTTTAGCTTGCGCTTTGCAGGGGCAGCCCAGATATTCAACGATGATTTGGCGAGAGAGCGTGCGAAAGGCGGAGAGCAGTTTGAGAAAAACACTTTTTGCCCGTATCTTTTCCAGTTTCGCGTAGGAAAAGTTGATTTTTCGTGGAAAAATCACCCTTTACGGTCGAAATAGACATCAGACTATTTCATGTCAAAATTCGCAAAAAAAAAAACTCGGGTGGGAAATTTTGATTTTTTATGAAAAAATCACCTTATCTGGTATAAAATCAGATTGAACTTTATGATCACAAAACTAACAAAGAAAGTGTCATATTTTGGCCATTTTTCGGCCAGAAAATCTCGGTCGATGCTGCAAGGCGCAAGCTAGGAGCTCCGTGTCGGTCTTAGAAATAATAATTCTCTGTATATCCGTGCCAAGTTTCATCAAAACCTCAGCGTTGCACTTGGAGTACTTCCCGGATCTGCCAAGCTTTATTGGCCGATGACTTGGGAAGTAGTAGAGGAGATTTTAAAAAATTTGTATTTTAGGACCCTAAGGGCCTATGTTTTTGACAAAGTGAAAATTTATCAGTCTGTCGGGAAAATAATGAGCACTCTGTCGCATCAAAAATTGTGCCGAGAAAATGAAGTCTTCGCGGCAAAATAAAATTGCTTTTGACTCCAGCGACGCTATTGTTGCAGCGATATTGAGCTCATTATTTCCCCGACAGACTGATACCATCCATTTCTTTGGCCATAAATTTCAATTTAACGTTTTCATCTCCTCAAGTCAAACTTTGTTTTAACGATTTTCAAACAAAACCCCATCCAATCGGCTTATAAATTGGATAAGAGTCAAAAAATTTTCCAATTTCCCGATTGAAATTTGGACACAAAACGATTTGTTTTTGGCCGAGTCGGCTTTCGGTTTCAAGTTGAAGCTTTAAACCCTCTCTTGTTTCCACGGACGCAGATTTTCGCACCTTGCTCGGTTGTAAACCGGGGTGTGAATTTCGCTTTTATATAAATAAAAAGACGAGGAGATACCAGGTGTTTAGGGGGTGAAAAGGCGAAGGGGGAGAGGTTAGTCATTTCGGGTGGGACTTTTTATTAGTATTCATCGTATTGTACGATCATTTTCGGAGAGCTGAGATGGGTTTTTTGGCTGAATTTTGGGTGAAGCAAGGAGTGATGATTGGCTTTAAAAAATAGTAAAAAAAGGGTTTTTTGTGTTGTGTTTTTAAACTTTAAAGATCTAAATGTTACAGACAGGTTAAGAAACGTTTAGAAGAAAACTATAAACTCCAGTAGAAGCGACCGTTACAAGGGAAGTACACCAAGTGACGCTCTGGTTTTCTTTAAATTTTGCGCACATTGGAGTTGGATATATCGTATATCAACTACCGAAAAGTTTAGCTCGCGCTTTGCAAAAAGAGCCAAGATATTCAATAATCTTTGCGGCCGAAAGAGTACGCGAAACGCGGAGAGCGGGCAGAGAGAAAAACTTTTTTATAACTTGAAATTTTTTGTGGAAACATTGCAGTCTACAGTAGACATGGCTCGTCGGCCGGCCCGGCCCGTTTCAAATTTTCCGTCGGCCCGGCCCGGCCGGCCCATTGAAACGAAAGTCTCCCCACATCTAACCCCTTATGACCAAATTTTTTTCTATCATCATGTGAATGGATAAATCCATAGCTATCTAAAAACAAAAATACCTTTAAAAAAACCAATTGTGTCTTGACATTGCATTTATTTTCATTATCAAACCCAATTTTCGCTTCGAGATTCTGGATTTTAAATAGTCCGGGCCGGCCCGGGCCGAAACGCCGGCCCGGCCGATCTGAAATCGGCCCACGGCCCGGCCCTGGCCGGCCCGGGAGCCATGTCTAGTCTGCAGTTGACATAGGCATAAAACTTTTTGTTATTGACCGGTCTAGAATGAAAAAATTTAACGAGTACCATAGGCCATATTTAGGGCCATTTTTTGGGTCCTTCTGGACAGCGCAGACAACGTGACAAATCTGATATTTTTATTATAATTCTGTGCAAGTAATTCTATACCTTTCGTCTTTTTTTAAAACTTTGCAATTGAAAAATTTCCAAAATTTACCTTTTTTTCTAACCATCCCTATTTCCAGCCCGCAATGCACCCGGCTGTCAGCTATCTACTCCTCTGATCACTGTCGCTCCACCCTCAACGGCACCATGAAGACGCCGGATCCGGCGGTGTCGCTGATGCTGCCACAGTCGCCCTTGGACTACAACACGCACAACTCGAACATGAGTATTCAGCGGCGGATACCTCCGCCGCCGGAGCGAAGGAAATCGGTGAAACCGATCGGGGTTTCGTGGAGATTCCGAGTGTTCAACGAGAACACGGCGGTTCTCTTCTTCTTGGCATTCGTGCTGACATTGGCGCTGTTTGTAGCGCAGGCGGTTTTTAAAAGTAAGTTTTTTTTTAAAAATTTTTTTTGCGAATTTTGCGTAATTTTTGTAGTGTTATAAAAAGATAGTAAAGTATCTTACAGGGGAAGTAGTCCAAGTGCTACGCTCAGATTTTGATGAAACTTGGCACAAATTTAGAACAATTTTTTCTAAGATATATGCGAGAATCCTAGCTCGCGCTTTGCAGAAACAACCGAGAATTCTAGATCGAAAGTCGGCCAAAATTTAGGACTTTTTGCCGAATTTCGGCCTGAAAAGTTGCATGCCTATTTCTACCGTAAAGGATAATGTTTCTACAAAAAATATTTTTTTTCCGCGCAAAACTAGCGAAGTTATGGCCAAAAAGCGTTTTTCTCTCTGACCGTTCTCCACGTTTAGCGTGCTCTCTCTGCGGCAAAAATCGTTCGATATCTTGGCGGCGCCGGCAAAGCGCAAGCTAAAACTTTCAGAAATTGATAATTAGATCATGACCGACGTGTGTGCAAAATTTAAAGAAAATCTGAGCGTCGCACTTGGAGTACTTCCCCTGGTAACTATTTTTTTTCAGATTCTTTCCTCACCTTGTATTCCCGCCATGAAATTATCGACTTAACAAGGACGGATGCCAATTTGGAGATTGGGAAATCAACGAGTTTGAGGGCCCCTCCAAGACGTCTAACATATACGTAAGAAATATGCAGTTTATATTTTTATTCCGCGTATTTTACCCGTTCTATTTTACCTCTATTGTGTTATGATTCATTCATTTTTAGGACAGTTTCTATACCCGAAAAAGCGAACTTGGCATTGATGTTCAACACCACAAATTCGGCTAGATTTGTGGTCTACGCCATGAGAACTTTGAGTCCAACGCCAACTTTATACGACTACAGAAGAGTTGTGAATGTGGATCGTCTTCATTCACAAGGCGTGGTGATTAGAGACGAGGCGGTGGAGGACGTGTTTTACGAAAGCGATGTGAGTGAATTTTTTGAATTTTTTGATAAAAAATCAATAAAAAAAAATATTTTTTTAATTTATTTTAATAAAAAATATTTTTTAAAAATAAAAAAAATATTTTTAATTATTCTTTTTATTTTTGCAACGCATTTTAAAACCAGAAAAAATCAAAATTAAAAAAAAATATTTTTGTAAAAGTTTTTTATAATTTTTTTTTCAGAATCGAAACGGCCTAGTTACATTCCCAGTAAACGTTGGCGAATGGCACATCGCTCTGTTGAATGACCATATTGAGCCTTTGCAAATGACTGTAACTCCATTCTTGTTCGATGAAAACCTTCAGAATGGCTGTAAATTTGAGTGTTTTGGGAAAGGAAGCTGTCAAAATGGAAGTTGCCAGTGTTTCCCGGGATACTCGGGGAAATATTGTCAGGAAAGTAAGTGAAAAAATATTAAGAATAATAAAAATAAAAAAAATAAAACAAAAGAAAATAAGATAAAATGAAAAAAATAAAAATAAAATAAAAAAATCACAAATAAAAAAAATAAAAATAAAGAAATAAAAATAAAAATAAAAAAATAAAAATAAAATAAAAAAATCACAAATAAAAAAAATAAAATAAAATAAATTAAATTAAAATATTTAGATAAAAAAATAAAAATAAAAAAATAAAAAAAAATGAAATAAAAAGGAATAAAAATTTAAATAATGTTTTTTCAGCCTCCTGTCCAATTCTTTGCTCTGGAAATGGCGTATTTTCCAACGGAGAATGTGTTTGTCATCAAGGATATCATGGGAAAATCTGCGAGAAAATTGATCGAAAGCCGGAGCCATCCTATTTGCAATCGTTCGATGGGGCTTTTCAACGTGAGTTTATGAAATTTTAATGATTATAGTACGATTTAAAAGCAAAAAAATTGTTTTGACTTTTTTAAATATTTTAGCAAAAAAATATATAAAAAAGAATATTTTTGAGATTTTTTGACAGTAAAAAATGAAAAAAAAATATTTAAAAATTTTTATTTTTTATTATTTTTTTTTATTTTTTAAAATTTTTTATCCTTTTTTTTATTTTTTTTTATTTCAGACACCAACATAATGCCCGTCTCCTCCGAATTATACGCTCCAAAATCCACCGAATCCTCCTTTCAAGCCGAAAAAGTCTCCTCCGAAAAATCCTTAAAAATCGACCCAAAACCGACTGAAATTTCGACCACAAAATCCTCCATTACCTGTCATAACGGTGGAACTGCCGAAGGTCCAATTTGCAGATGCCGCCATGGATTTGGCGGGGAAAAATGCGATGAAGTGAAGTGTCCGAACGATTGTAATGGACGCGGGAGATGTCTGGAGGGCGTCTGTCAATGCGAAAATGGGTGGAATGGAAAGGATTGTGGGATAAGTAAGTCTTACTTTTGATTTGTTTTTTGATGATTTTTTAACAAAAATTAGGTAAAAGTTCCTTATTTTGGCCACACCTTATAACTTTGCGGAAACTGGTCGGAATTAGCCCAAATTTAGCGTGCACGCTCAATTCATCGTTGTCAATGCCCGGACAGTGGATTTAGTTAGTGAGGTACCTTCTTTTTTACGTACCACCTTACCCTTCAAAAACGGCTGCAGCCTGTGATTTTACACTTTATACGATGAAACATGTCCGGAACTAAACTTATTGCCTCCGTATGGAACAAAATGAGTCGTCACAGCCTTCGTAGGTACCCTTAAAGCTATAGAGCTCATATAGTAATTCAGTGCCAGCTAGGTCGGAGCGTTTTTTCCTAACTTTAGTGCCCAAGCTTGGGCGCAGTTCGCGGAGTACCTTTGTTGTGGCCAAAATAAAGAACTTTTTCCAAAATTACAATATTAGCAAGGGAATATTCCAACTGCGACGCCTAGATTTTGATGAAACTAGAGTGGTTAATCTTATCCAATCGCAAAAAGCTTACCATTTTGCATCCAAAAAGTATCAAAAATGTGCCAAAATACCTCCCTCTGCAAAGTAAAGAGACTCCATTTTTAAAAGCGCACCCGCTTTTTTTTTTGTGAGAAGCAGGGCGCGCCCTTCAAAACGGAGTTTTTTTTCACTTGTAGAGGGAAGCATTTTGCTACATTTTTAATACTTCCCGGAAGCAAAATGGTCCGTTTTTTGCCACTTGATCAGTCCGCCACTGTGGTCGCAAATCCAAAATAACTTTGTTAAGACGATTTGCGGGGTTCCTAGCCGACAGAAACAAGCAGGTTTTTGGATCGAAAATTACGAAAAATGCAACCATTTTTTATATTTTTGCAAATTCAGACATGAAAAGTTTCACGTTTATTTCTACCATAAAAAGTAATGTATACTCAAAATAATGAATTGACTTGATTTATAGCCTTCGTACTACGGCTATGCTGAAAAGATATGATGTTTTAGCACTATTCTTCGAGTAAAGATCCTATATCAAGTTTTCAAAAGATATGCCGAAAATTTGCAACATTTTGCCTCTTTCAGATGGCTGTCCGAACCACTGCAATGGAAATGGGAAATGTCGGAGGTCCAATGGCAAATACAGCTGCAAATGTAACGAGCTTTTCTTCGGCGAATCCTGCAACTATCGAACTGAGGCTGTCTGTGATGACGGGCTGGATAATGATAACGGTAAGAGCTTTATGTTGCTAGTGTTTGCGATCACCTCTCCCCCTCGTATTTTACAAATCATCCTCTCCAAAATCGTTTACAAATCATCTTTCAGACGGCCTCGCCGACTGCTTGGATCCCGACTGTTGCTCGTCGACGCATTGCCAGGCCAACCCTCTTTGCATGACCACCTCAACGAACCAAACTCGCCCAAAAACTTCGACAAGATCCTCTCAAGATTTCTTCGACAAAATGAACTACTTGATCCAGCCAGGCTCCGCGCAGCGATACGCAGATCACAAAGCCTTTAAGCGAAGTCTCTTCAGTGTTTTGAAAATGAAAATTGTCGATGAAAAAGCGGGACCGTTGATGGGAATGAGGGTGGTCAATGAAATGAAACCCAAGCAAGGTAAGAATAATACTAATAAAAGTTTGGGTCTAAAATTATTGGGGCTCTTCACGCTACAGGCTTGATGAAAAGCTATGACAAATTGAAGGGCCAGTAGGGCGTAACAGCATAAGTTTGACTCTTGGTTTGGCCGCTTGAGAAATGAAATGGGGAGAAACTTACCTTGCTTAGAAGTGTAGCCGTGTCGAAAGGCCCGGCAACCCAGTAAGGAGACAAGACGAGAGCTCAAGAGTCAAGTGATTTATTCAGTGGAAAGGAGACCTTTTATAGGGGAGCCCCACGTAGGAGAGTACACTCAAATTTGGATAAATGCAGATCGTTCCTCGTGGGAAAACCCTCGAAGTTCGGTCGTTACGCGTGACAAATCGATCTCCAATTGTTTTGATTAGCTACACCTCTTCCTATAATGTCAAGTGGCGGACTTGATCTATTGACAAAAAACGTACCATTTTGCATCCGGGAAGTATCAGAAATGCAGCAAAATACCTCGCTCTTCAACTAAAAAAAGAACTCCGTTTTGAAGAGCGTTTCCTTTCCCTCACAAAAAAGCAAGACACACTTCCGAAATCAAAGTCTTTTAACTTGCAGGGGGAGATATTTTTCTGCATTTTTGATACTTCCCGGAGGCAAAATGCCACATTTTTTCCACTGGATCTGGTCCCTCACTCGCGAATCTTTCCGCACTGTGTATTATTATATATCAGTCTGTCGGGAAAATAATGTGGATTCGCAGCAAAATGTCTCATCTCGTCGCAGTCGCTCACCATGTTTCCAGCCGCGGCTAGCAAAGCGATGATGGGCGATTTCGAACCGCAACGAATCCACATTATTTTCCCGACACACTGATGGCGTTTGGACTGCGAAAACTTTGGCGGTAGCTCGTTGCAAGTAAAGTCGAAATATTAGAGGGATTTATGAAATTTTTTATTTTTTCATGAACTTAAAGTCTCTCATTTCTCTAATTTTTCATTTTTCAGGCTTCACTCTCACCAACGAAGCCGGCGAAGCCGAGCTGGCCGTGAACGGCGGCGGATATGTGCAGCTCTCTCTTCTCCGCCATCCCTTCGGCCTTCTCCATTACAATCTCTTCGTGCCGGCCAATCAGCTCCTCGATTTGGGAACACTCTCCATCTCGCAGCTCCAACACCCCTCCTCCTACAATTCTACATCGAAATGCGCTGAAAAATTGGCTGAAAATCCGATGAAAATTCGAATTTTCAACGATTTTTCGCAATTCTCCGAAGTTATTCCGGATAATTTCGATATGAAAATCGAAAATGAGATCTCGTTGAGCTACAGTGACAAGGGCTCGGTGTTGATCTTCAAATGGGAGGAGAAATCGCTGGAAAACGTTGAAAATGTGTTGATGAAAATTTCCGCGGCCGGCAGAGTCTTTGAATTCGATTTGAAGCCGAGAAAAGAGTTCGTCTTCGAGTTTGATGGGGAGAATGAGCATGGAGAGAAAGTGGAAGGAGCTGTAGATGCTCTGGGTAAGTTGGGAACCACTGAATTTGAAGGGGAAGTGGGCCAAGTGCGACGCTCAGATTTTGATGAAACTTGGCACAAATTTAGAAAAGTCTTTGCCAAAATATACGAGAATTATAGATCACGCTTTGCAGAAACAACTGAGATTTTTGGATCGAAAGTCGGCGAAAAATTGACACTTTTTGTCGAATTTCGGGACGAAAAGTTGCATGTCTGTTTCTACCATAGAAGGTAATGTTTCCACAAAAAAACATTTTTTTCCGCATGAAACTGGCAAAGTTACGGCAAAAAAAAATGTTTTTTCTCACTGACCGCTCTCCGCGTTTCGCGTTCTCTCTCTCTCTCGGGGGCAAAGATGATTCAATATCTCGGTGGCGTTTGCAAAGCGCGAGCTAAAACTTTCAGGAATTGATATCTAGTCTATGCCCGACGTGTGTGCAAACCTTAAAGAAAATCTGAGCGTTTCACTAGGGGTACTTCCCTTGTTAGGGCAAAATGTTTCGAAAAGGATCAACATGCACTGTGCAGTGCGAAAAAAAGATCGAATGAAGTTTACGCACTTTTGAGAAAGCGTACAGCGGGGAACCTGATCCAGTGGAACGAAACGTACCATTTTGCATTGGGGAAGTATCAAAAATGTGGCAAAATGCTTCCCTCTCCAAGCGACGAAACTTAGGTTTGAAGGATTTCCCTCACAAAAAGAGCGGACGCACTTTTGAATTTGGAGAATTTTTCACTTGTAGAGGGAAGCATTTTGCCACATTTTTGATACTTCCCGGATGTAAAATGGTACATTTTTTGCCACTGGATCAAGTCCCCCACTGTAACATCGCCGTGGCTTTGCTGAAAAATTTGCACAGTGCAAAAACGTGTAAACAGAAGGAGAAGCAATTTTTGTAAAATACGTTGAATCAATTAGCGTTTCTTATGCTTTTTCTTTTCAGTCAAAGTGGGATACAAATACCAAAACTGCGATAAAATTTACTGGAATGCCTACAAAGAGAAGATCATTGTGAAAGCCGCGGATAAAAAGTGTTGTGGACCGTTAGGGCTGAATGTGGAACATTTCTACGACTCGAAATCCAGTAAGTCTTCATTTTTCACCTCAATTTCTTCCTTTTTTCACCCTAATTTCATCAATTTTCAAAAAAAAAAAAAAAAATCCCAATTTCAACAAAAAAAAAATCGCCGATTTTTTCAATATCCCTTGAATTTCAGACCTTTTTCAATATGGAAACGGCACAGTGATTGATCTAAATCAATACAAATCACTTCAACCAGTCAAAACCAACATCTCAGTGGCCTCAAATTCCGATCAAGTCTTGGTTTTGGCGGATGGATCGATAATTTTGAAGCAAAATGACAAAATTTTGCATAATGGAAATGTCATTTTGGACGGATTCGATTTTAAGCACGCTAGAATGAGCGTAGATCCGTTGAGGAATGAGGTGAATGTGCTGTTTGAGAAGACTAATAAGGTAAATTTGAGTTTTTGAAAAAACAAAAAATTGAAAAATTTTTAAAAATTTCTTTTTTAGGTGATAAAGATTCGATCAATCGAAAAATTCTCAAGTCCTGTGGAGAATTTCCAAGTCGTTTTGGAGTCTCAATCCATTTGTAATGGCGATGTGGTTGGATGTTTGAATGGAAAGACAGTTCAGGAAGCCAATTTCAAGCAGATTCAAGGTAAGTATCACTACGACTTTTCGGGTCGACGACAGTTCGGGTGAGTACGATCGATCGTTACGGGGCGTAGGCCAGGTGGGCGCCCAAAACAAGGTTCTAGGAAGACTTACGAGGCCTGGCAAAACCGCTGGATTATCGGCGGAGGCTCGGCGGAGACTTGGCGAAGACTTGCGATATGTCCACTTCTTCTAATTTTTGCTATTACTAACGTTTGTTTTATAAACCCTGAGTTATTTTAACATATAAAAGACCAAAATTTGTGGCAAAAAACTAAAAAAAAACTAAAAAATAAGCTATCCTATAGAACCCTTTTTGTTACTAGTCGCGACATAAAGTCCTGACACATTTTGTCGCGGGTGTCGCGCGAGAAAAGTGGCAAGTTCGCGCGAAAGTGCATTTCGCTAGTGCAAAAACGGGGAATTGCCGCGACGGGTCCGAAAGAAAAACAAAATGCACTGTGCAAATGTGTCAGGACTTTATGTTGCGACTAGTATTTCTACTAATTACTACAACTTTTTTGCGGCGACGCATTTAATATTTTTTAAAAAAATTAGTAGAAAAATTAAGATGACCACGTCTGTCAGTCTGTCTGAAAAACATTGAGCCCAATGACGCTCTGCCAGTCACGTCGCTGAAGTAAAAAGAAATTTTATTTCGCAACGGCACAATTCATTTTCTTGGCGGCAACGCGATTTTCGATCCGGCAGAGTTCTCATTATTTTCCGACAGACTTATAGCTTCACGTCTTTAACTGCTTACAAATTATCCATTTTCAGACATTGCCTTCGACAAGCGCGGCAACCTTCTTTTCCTGGACTCAAATGCTCTCTTCTACATCGAAAACAGCCTAATTCATCTGCTTGGGCAATTCTCATCGCTCTCATTCTCCACCAAATGCCTCAAAACTTTCGCATTGAAAGATTTGGGACTTCATTCGGCCCAGCGAATTCTCATCGATCCCTTGACCGGGCATCTAATCCTGCTCGACAAGAACGCTCTCATCTATCGGATCGACATTCACAACCAAATTGCGCATCGAATTTACAACGGTCTCCACGACTGTGGTCAGAATTCGGAGGCCAGCCGCATTCACAGTGTAAATCACATCGAAATTGATGTGAATTCGAATAATTTGATCGTTTTTGGCTTCCTCAAAAATGGAGAGTTGACCGTGCAAAGTGTGGACTTGAATAGCGATGAGATCTCGACGATTGTCAAGGACTTGCGACGCTGCAAATGCTTGAAAGTGGGATGCAAATGCAGTGAGGAGGAGAGCAAGAATGACGCGTATGCAGTGACGTCGGTTAGTGTTGGAGGGAAAGGTGGGTAATTACTGTATATTATTGGTGAAAAAAATAAAAAATTGGGCCGATTTGGCCATGAAAAGAAGCAAAAAAATATAAAAAATTTTTTGAAATCACATGCAACAGCGGCGGACTTGATCCAGTGGCAAAAAACTGCATTTTTTTCCGACCGCTGCAGCAAGCCGGGAGCTGCTAAAAGCTGCAGTGGCGACCTGATCCAATGGCAAAAAAACGTACCATTTTGCATCCGGGAAGCATCAAAAATGTGGCAAAATGCTTCCAAGTGAAAAAACTCCGTTTTGAAGGGCGTCTTCACAAAAAAAGCGGACAATCTTTTGAAATCGGAGTTTTTCACCGGGAAATGGAGGTATTTTGCCACATTTTTGATACTTCCAGAATGCAAAATATGCAAAATGGCATGCTTTTTGACACTGGATCAGGTCCGCCACTGTATTTAGGGAAAGTCAGCAAAATTTAAAGAGAATTTCAAAAGTTTTGAATACTCTATGAGCAAATATTTTTTTGGGAACTCTAAAGCTGAATATCGCCTAAAACTTGCAAAAAGTTTCCAAAAATAACGTCATCACAAACATTTTTCACTATTTTCAGGTCAAATCCTCTTCACCACTTCCAATCCCTTTGGGATTTTCAAGCTCTCACCGCTCGAAATCTTCTTCGACAAATCTTTGGCGACCTTTACCATAACCCTCCCAAATTCCTCCGAATTTCATACGTTCGACCGGAACGGCCGACTCCTCTCAACGGTGAAATCGACGACGCTTCAACGAAAAAGAGAGTTCCGCCGAGAACTGAGCGAAAAAAGCGCTAAAACCGACTTAATTTTGGCGTCCGGCGAGCATTTGAGTGTGACTCAAGAGGCCCCAAATAAATGGTCGATAACGCATGGGAACGGTCGACGAATGGAGGTGCAAGTCCATGAGGGTGTGGTGGAGATCAGAGAGGATGGAAAACTCATCAAGAAGATGGAGTTTACAGTGAATGGAAGGCTTTTACGGACCGATTTGGACGAGATTTTGTAGAAAAGTCATCAAAGTCATCAAAATCTCGAGATTTTTTAAAGTTTCTCTCCCATTTTTGGTCTTTGCAAGAATTCCTCATGCTCTGATCAGCCTCATGTTTTAATATCTCATTGCAATTGGTCATCTGTAGCCAGATTAAGTGATTTTTTTACCCTACGGGTATAGTGCAATATCCCCACTCTCGGTCTCACGGGTCCACCGAAGTTATCTCCATATGTACATACTCACAGCAACTGTAGCTCATATAGGAAGGTTTTTTAATCATTATTTTGTGTTTTACATTATTTTTTTTGCATTTACGGTGAATAAATTAAAGATTATTAACGTCTCTCGGTGTTTTTTTTGACATGAAAAAGTTCAAGATGATGTTGTACGGATCAACAGAAAAATAATAGAGAGCTTTGCCTAGCTTCTTCGCTGATTTTATGGGCTTCATTAGATTATTCCGGGTCCAGAAAGCGAATTAAAAAATGTCGTCTCATTGCTTATGTCATCTTTAAAATTCAAGTCCTCCAAGACAATGGATAAGACCAAAAAACTAGTATTCTACGGGCTTGAAACCCGTAGAATAGCTTACAAGGAACGTTCCTCAAGTCTGACGGTCAGAATTATTTACAAGCACATTTTATACGACAAAACATGTTTCATCGTATAAAATGGTATCTCCGTCAAATTTTGCAAGGAAAATTTAAATGGGCTTCTAATCAATTACTAAAAAAATTAGCTCGCATTTTGCAGGAGCAGCAGAGATATTCAACGATCTTTGCCGGCGAGAGAGTACACAAAACGCGGAGAGCTGTCAGAGAGGAAACACTTTTTTGTAAAAAAAAATCTTGGTTGTACGTTCAAATTGCTATCTAGGAATCTCCTGATAGGCCTGAAATTCATTTCGTACGGCAATGCTGACTTGTTCGCTTAGCAAATTCTTTCAAAAATCCTTTATTAACATCAAAAAAATAGGAACTGAAAGATGAATCCATCGGGGGAAGGCAGATCACTATGGCAGTATGGTTACAAAATGTACACTTTTGCGTTCAAGATTATCTGAAATTACCGTAAATGTGGCCGATATTCTCTGATTACTCAATCTGCCTATAAAAAAAGGCCTCACTTGACAAATACGGGCCTCATTTTACGATTTTTGTCTCCTTTTATTGTGCTTTCCACAATCGCTTAATGCCGCTTTGGAGGTCGTTGAATTTTGCGTTGGGTTCGCCGACGCCGAAGCATGAATCTGGCAAGCCTCATGAAGTCGTTGATGTTAGCCATGTTCAGCTTCTTCGCGACGCCCGGAGGTGGTCGAATGGCGGGAGGAGCGTCATTCAACGCCGACGAGACCTTGAATCCCCGGAGGGGAGGCGGGGTCAGTGCGGGGACGGGGCGGCGGGAGGCGAAGGTGGTGGGCCTGAAAATGGGAAAAATTGAGAATTTGGCGATAAAACTTTGTCGCCTTAACCCCAAATTTGGACCATATCAGTTTGTAGGGAAAATAATGTGGATTTTTGCTGCAACATGTCTGGCTCGTCGTAGTCGCGCAAAATCTCCAGCCGCGGTTGGTCGTTGCAAAGCAACGATGGGAAATTTGAATTCACATTATTTTCCCGACAGACAGATACTAGGCTCGTTTGAAAGTCGGTTTATGGCGTTTGCGCTGTGCAGAAAAAATCAGAGTGTGAGCGAAAGTGACAGACAACGAATCCACATCATGTTCTCGAAGGACCGATATGAGAAAAACTGCGATTTTTTTTGTTTTTTTTTGATAATACCGATATCGAACAGAAAGGTGTTTTTTGCAAACATCATCGAGCACATATGAAAGGTAGACGGCAAAAATCTCATTATCCTTGCAAATTTGTCACCCCGGGGAAAAGTCTTTGAGTCTGTCGGGAAAATACTGACCACAATATCGCTGCGCCGATCGCGTCGTTGAATTGGAAGAAAATTTGCTTTTCCCGCGACACGACTCGTTTTCTCGGCGGTGATTCGACTTTAGATGTTACATTATGCTTATTATTTTCCCGACGGACAGTTATATGTATGTAAATTGGCCCAAGTGAGTCAATGCCTCCAAATTTGAAAGGAAATCTGGGCTTTGCACATTGATGAAATTGTAATTTGGTTTTTTGGCTCTCTTGACTTTTTCACTTTCTACCAAGATTTATATGGTAAATAGAACGTGGCTCCATCTCATCAGGACATCATCACATACTCTCTCCTCAAAGATATCCCTCAAAACTCACAGTACTGCCATTGTGGTGCTTGTTCGATGAGGTGGTGCCACTCTTAGTGGGACCGGCGTGACTCCTTGCAGATGGGTGGTCAGACTCGTCTTTAGGGTGACGGTTGGATTCGGTGTTGTCAATTTTCTGCTTCTCCTCGACTTGATTCTTCGGCCTCTTCGTGGAGCGTCTGATGGGAGCGATCTTCGATGCGAAACTAAAGAAATTTGTTAAGAACTTGGCCAAGAATAGCCTAGAAATTTCGAAATATTACCTCTGGTCACGGTGCCTCCACTCTTTGCTGCAGCTCGGATCAAAATTCCTCTGGAAATGGGCTTTAGCAAGGCAAATTTTTTCAGCTTGGATTCGAAGCTGTGGATTTTCTTTTCAAGCCGTAAATACGATAAGAGCACCGGCGTTGACTTACGACACTGCTGACTTACGTTTTGGCTCTTGTTTTTTTGGCAGTCTGTCCCACAGCACACACCTGTGCTAATAAAACTAATAGGAGTACTATGAAAGACACACGGACTATCATTCTGAAATGTGTTACAGTTTTATTAAAAAAACAGTTGAGAATAGGGGACGACACGATCGGCCACTATTTTATGAATTGTCGGGTTTAGGGAGGATAATCAGGCGTGGCTCGCCGCAGCTAAACCGCCAACGTTCAGGACATAAAACATTATACGATTGGAATCCAGAATGGATCACACGGAGCATAGAAAAGCAAAATTGTCGAGGCAAATGTAGAAAGGTGCACAGTGAGAAAGGAAAAATAGACAGTTCTGAACTTTTGAGCGCCAGTAGCAAAAATTTCGGTCGCTTCTGCAAATTGCAAGCTGCTAGGAGTGTTGCAGATGTCGTAGAAAAAAATATTCCAAATTTGTCAACATCTGAGCACTTGGATCATCATCCTGCCGGTAAAATAATGAGCAAGTGTTGCATTGAAAATCGCATCGCCGCCGAGAAAATGAATTGTGTCGATGCGGCGAAGGGACATTGTGATCATTATTTTCCCGACAGACTTACGCTTCAAAGATCGAAATCAATTTCTAGGCCGTCACACAAGTCTACTGTAAGATTTCTAGAACAGCCTGGAGTTGCTTTCTAGACTATCTTGATACCAATGACCTGTCTATATGAGGCTCAATTCCCCATTACATTATAATGTTTAGAACGCCGACTTCAGCTTCGAAATTTTCTAAAGCCCTTATAAGTCTAATCCGCCAACAAAATACTATTTTTGGTCACTTTACAATTTCAAAAATGCCATTTTATGTAACAAAGGCCACTTGACATTTCTCCAAACGGCATTATTACTATTTTTCGGCTTTTTTCATATTTACATTTCCCTTTTTCCGCAGTAAAACCCCCATTCTCACTTTTCGTTTTGCACGTTACACTTCCACTTTACTATTCCAACCTTTCAATCCAAGTTTTTTCCCCCAACCACAAGACTTTTCCCGCCTTTTCATCGCCCAATTTTCGGAATCCAGCAATTTTTTGCTGATAATCGAATTTTACTGTCAGTTACAAAAACAGCGTCACAAAAAACTGTTCCTTTCTATTTACAAACAACTTTTTTTCCTCCCGGTTTGAAACCCCGCCTTAGGCGCGCGAAAAAAACGATGGTTATCGGAAGACCATTGCCGACTTTTTTCTCCGTCTTTTTTACAGTGTAAAGTTCGTGTTTCTGGACACTGATCGAAAAAAACAATGAGAAAGGCCCGGAAAAGATGTTTATGGGTTTGGCGCGTGATCAAATGCTGCAGGCGGTGTAGCGAGAGACTTTGTTACGGAGATAAGGAATCTAGGGTAGTCATCTTTGAGACGGTAGAAGTCGAAAACATTCACAACTGAAGAGGAGGGTCATGTAACGATTATGACCGTACTAGTCCGTTTGTAAAGTCGCTGGAATGATTGGGGCGACAGTGAAAAGCAATGTTTGCTTTTGCACTGTGCAACTTTTTGCTTTTTGCTGGAGCCGAAGCAAAGACTCCGTGGCAAGTAGACATGGCTCCCGGGCCGGGCCGGCCCGGGCCGGCCTGGGTCGGGCCGCCGGCCGGGCCGAAATTTCGGCCCGTCGGCCCGATTTCAGATCGGCCGGGCCGGCCGGACCATTTCCGGCCCGTCGGCCGGGCCAACGTTTCGGCCCGGCCCGGCCCGAAATAGTTAAAATCCAGAATCTCGAAGCGGAAATTGGGTTTCATAATGAAAATAAACGAAATGTCAAGACACAATTGGTTTTTTTAAAGGTATTTTTGTTTTTAGATAGCTATGGAACACAGTATTTATCCATTTACATGATGATAGAAAAAAAATTTGGTCATAAGGAGTTAGACTTGGAGAGACTTTCGTTTTAATGGGCCGGCCCAGGCCGGGCCGAAGCAAATTTAGAACGGGCCGGGCCAGGCCGACGGAAAATCTGAAACGGGCCGGGCCGGCCGGAACTCTTCAGGCCGACGGGCCGGGCCGAGATTTTTGGCCCGGGCCGGCCGACGAGCCATGTCTAGTGGCAAGATAACTAGTGCCTAAAATATTATAAAATCGCCCATACAGCTACTTTGGAATCGCGCCTTTTAAGGCTTGAAATACCCAAAATTACTTTGCCTATCCCATCCATTACTTCAAGGGGAAAATAACGGTTTGTCAAACTCTCTAACTAACAGGCTAATTTAACACATTGAAGTATGCAATCTTTGCATTTTGAATGATCCAGATTTTACCAACTAAAACTATTATCTAAAAAAATGGCCATGTAATTTCAAAGTTGAACACGTGAATCGCAACAATACATAGTAAGCGGCAGATTTATTTTTTTGTATGCCTTTAAACGCAGGTAATTTGGTAAGTTCCCAAAAAAGCTCGACGATCTTTTCGTTTCATCTTTTCACTTTTTAAAAAACAACAGTCAACAAAAAAAGAAAATTTTGTAAAGTCACACAGGAACACCCCGTGGCACAAAGCACACTGATGAAATGGATCGGTAATTTATAATATATCAATTCCATTAAAGGTTAAGTTAAAGAAGTCAATTTCTAAAAGTCCAGGAATTGAACTGGAATTGAACTGTGTGAAACTGTATTGAAAAACTCCGGCGATACAAAGCCTTTATATCGGAAGCGAATGATTAGGCCCCAAGGGTCAAGTTTAGGCCAAGGACCTCCATACAAACGAAACCTCGATATAACAAACACGTTTTTTTTTGGTATTTTTTAAAAGACGATTTCTGAGTCAGTGAAGCAAGCGGTGACATAGGATTTTTTCGATGTTGAGTTTTTTGCATAAATATGATCCACAGCACCAGTAGGGAAAAAGCGAATCACAGTTTTCCTCAATTCCTCCATTAACTGTACTTTTTATACAATTTTCTGTTTATACAGTAATTGGTCATAACTTTCTACAGTGGTGCCTGTTTGGCATACAAATATGGCTACTATGGTTTTTGGGTATGGCGAGTTCAACAAAACCAAAAAAATTTGATCAGATTACGGTAACATACAAAAACACTGTATCGGTCGATAAAAATCGGCCATAAAAGTTTGTTTCAAAAAACCCACAGCCAATTTTTTGATATTCGTAATCAGCATAAAATTCTGGTCTAGAATCAATTTTAAAAAGTTCAAAAATAGGACCCCCATTTTCGGTGGTGTAGTGGTTTTTGACCAAAACTGGTAATCTGACCACCCAGGTTCGAATCCGGGTGGGTGCGAATGTAGAAAAAGACCTCAAATCACTTTTATTGAAAATCTGAGAGTTCTTCGAAGCATGCCGAGCAATTTTAGGCATTTAAACTCTCTGAATTTGGGATTAAAACGATTTTTATGTAATTTTAGAGGATTAATACATGAAAAATAAAACTGCTTCAAACTGGTTGAAATTGATAACACTTACTCTATGGCTAATTGTAAGATACTTTCCTGTTAACTTTTTTTGGTAGAGTGCTGTATCATGGACTACTGTAACATAAAACCCGTTTTCGTTTTTGGTGTGCCACAGGGCGTAGAGACCTCAGTCTATCATAATTACGATAGGAATGCTTGAGAACACGTCGGTTATCACACAGATTTGTTTTCTATGTCCGGAGGACTTGAAACAAGTCAGTTATAACGCGCAGATTTCCAATCGATAATGATGTCGAGATGCACTATATATCATGGAAAATTCTTTTTTTGAAATATGGAGCGTTGAGATTTCATGCTTTTTAATAGATCTAATTTAAAAAAGAAAAACATTTACAAAAGAATTTTGAAGAAAACATCTGTTAAGCAGAATAAGTTTTATGTTACAGTAGTCCATGATACAGCACTCTACCAAAAAAAGTTAACAGGAAAGTATCTTACAATTAGCCATAGAGTAAGTGTTATCAATTTCAACCAGTTTGAAGCAGTTTTATTTTTCATGTATTAATCCTCTAAAATTACATAAAAATCGTTTTAATCCCAAATTCAGAGAGTTTAAATGCCTAAAATTGCGCAGCATGCTTCAAATAACTCTCAGGTTTTCATTAAAAGTGATTTGAGGTCTTTTTTCTACATTCGCACCCACCCGGATTCGAACCTGGGTGGTCAGATTACCAGTTTTGGTCAAAAACCACTACACCACCGAAAATGGGGGTCCTATTTTTGAACTTTTTAAAATTGATTCTAGACCAGAATTTTATGCTGATTACGAATATCAAAAAATTGGCTGTGGGTTTTTTGAAACAAACTTTTTATGGCCGATTTTTATCGACCGATACAGTGTTTTTGTATGTTACCGTAATCTGATCAAATTTTTTTTGGTTTTGTTGAACTCGCCATACCGAAAAACCATAGTAGCCATATTTGTATGCCAAACAGGCACCACTGTAGAAAGTTATGACCAATTACTGTATAAACAGAAAATTGTATAAAAAGTACAGTTAATGGAGGAATTGAGGAAAACTGTGATTCGCTTTTTCCCTGCTGGTGCTGTGGATCATATTTATGCAAAAAACTCAACATCGAAAAAATCCTATGTCCTGGCCTAACTACGGCTTGCTTCAGTGACTCAGAAATCGTCTTTTAAGGCTAAGCCGTCCTACTGGCTCTATAAATTTCGCTGGTACCTCAAGTTCGATGCACAGCTTTTATTCAAATTTTGCACACATGACGGCCATAGGCCACATATTAATTAATGAAAATTTTAGCTCGTACTTCGCAGGCGCAGCCAAGATACCGAACGCTCCCTGTGGCCGAGAGAGTGCAAAAAAGCGAAGTTCTGTCAGAAAGACCATTTTTTTCTTTTCCGTATCTTAGCTGGGAAAAATTATCTTTTTGGGGAAACATTACTCTACGGTAGAAATATGAAAATGCGCGAGTTAAAAAAGTCTCGAATACCTCTTTGAAAGGTGCTTTGAATTTGTGCCAGGTTCCATCAAAATCTGAGCGTCGCACTTTGAGTACTTCCCCTGTAAATTCAAGAGTATCCCACGCCAAACAAAAGCATATTCTGAAGTGCGAATGCTTCCTCTATTATCGTATCTACACAACCGAGACGACAGTCGACGAAACTTCATGTCCAAAAATGTTGAAATAATTTTTTGTTACAACTGTACGTAATGGTACACCAATGCATACATATTGGCGCTAAATACGGCACATTTCTATTGAGAACCACAAAAGCTACAGTAATTTTTAAAGTGCGCTTATAATCGTATTTCAACCCTATATCGAATAAATTTCGACCACCGCAAAACGTTCTACAGTCCCAGAATTCATTTTTTATCGTATAAAACGAACGTTTGACTCATCATCAATCGAACGACCACTTGAATTGCAACCCTGTTCGTAAAGACTTTTAACATTCGAAAAAAAAAAGAATCACCACTCACTTGCGTATTTTTTGCGCTGAAAAATGTTTCAAATGGGGTTCAAAAAAAAGTAAAAAAAAAAAGAGTTCGCTCTTAATCAACGGCGCCTCAATTTTACAACCCTTTTTTTCGCGCCTTCCTTCTTTCCTGAAAAAGGTAAGGAGTTTGTTTATGGAAAAAAGAAGGTATTGTAATAATGTCGGTGCTGCATTGTTTTTGAAATCAAATTACTCGGACTCCCTCCTCGCCTTTCAGGCGGCTACTATACAGTTTTTGAATTTTGTACAGTTAGGAGAAGAGGAGGGAAGGAAAGAAGAAAAGGCGAGGAAAATGGAGGCAATTGAAGGAAGGAAATGGCAAAAATTTTACTTTACTAAAGGAAGATTGTCATCAACTCAGATAAGTATCAGTCTGTCGGGAAAATAATATCGATTTGTCACGGGAAAATGTCTCGCCTTGTCGCAGTTGCGCCCCAAAAGTCGAGTCGCGGATAGCTTTTGCAAAGCAGCGGGCAATTTTAAGGCGTGATGAGTCCATTATTTTCCCGACAGACTGGTATACTTTCTATCAGTTTGTCGGGAAAATAATGAGTACAAAGTCGCTGCTTAATATCGTCGCTGAAGTGAAAAGCAATTTGATTTTGTAGCGATGCAATTCATTTTCTCGCCGGCAATTCGATTTTTGATGTGGCAGAGGGCTGATTATTTTTTCGACAAACTGATAGAGATGATAAGTCATGGCTGACCTATGTATATACACTCTCTAATTGTATATACACATCCGATGCATTAACGACGTTTTCCCTCGCATTGCACGTGCAGAGTAAAATTTTCCGCAAATGACGATTTTCCAGGGACGAAGTTGGTCATCGAAGTTGGTCATCCTCGAAGCTTCATAAAAACCGTTGTGTCAAGCCTTATCATACAAAAAATATATCAATAGATAGCGTTTTTAAAGTTCTTTCAGAAGACCTTAACAGTAATTTTAAAACCCTACAGCCACCTGTAAAAAAATGCAAAACAAAAAAACGGCGGAGTCATACTTCTAGACCTAATATACTACTTGCAACATAAAGTTCAGACAATTTTCACAGTGTGTTTTTTTTTGCTTTACCTTCTCATATGAACTTTATCGCGCAAGTATTGTAATACAGAAACCGCAGACAAGGGAAATGCTTCAAGTGCGACGCTGAAATTTTGATACAACTCCTTGCGAAAATTGGAATAATTTTTTTCTACATATGTCATATGCGAAGTCCTTAACTGGCCGTTTGTAGGAACGACCGAGATTTCTGATGACAAAAGTTTTCAAAAATTTGACACGTTTGGCGAATTTTGGCAAGAAAAGTTTTATAACAGTCTCTACCGTAGATGGTCA